AGAGAATTAAATTGTCTACAAAATGGTTTATTTACTTTTGAGTTCTGACTTTTTCAAAAATTTCTGCAAATAAAACAAAATCATAGGAAAACGTCACGGAATTACGTACGCAGGTAGAGTTAGCTGGCTAGGCCGTACGATTAATAAATGTTGTTTCACTATATTTTGAAACTTATCAGGGAATAGTGAAGGAAAGCTGGAATTTTCTCTGATTATAACAGACATCTAGCACTACCACAGGAAAAATTCTCAGCCTTTCATACCGTGTTTTGACTGAGTTATAGAATTCATAATAATCTATGTTATGCGCTATACGGGCAAAATAAAAAAATTCATAATTTTTGAAAGAAGAAATAAGAATCCAAATCCGTTTAGGGTTTTTACTACAACACTCGACACTATATAGTATCTATAGGCCAAATATCATTGAAATTGGCGTTGGACATCTGGAGAGGTACCGTCATAAGTCTGGGTTAACTGCTAATGGCGATATAGATTAATATACATTGGTGTAAGAGAGGACAAGACGAATGCCATTAACTTTCTCTTGCAACCATCTTCAAAGCTAAATACTACCATCTATGAAAATTTCTTAAATGCGACAATGTTCGATTTTTTCGTGTTGGTTTTTCGGTTTGAAAACCAAACCTACATAAAAGTATAAAATAATAGACATATATTTCACACATCAGTTACCTTTTAAGGGAAGCTTGTACGTACTTGAATACAAAATATCTGATGCATAACGAAGAATGCAAAAAGCCCATTTATTCACTCATGAATCAAATTAGTTAAGTAGATGAAAGGTACTTTTTTCGCCTAGCATACATGGAAGACATTCCACAATTTGCATTCGAACCAACAACTCCCGAAAAAAAAGAAACATTTTTTCAACGCATAATCTCCTCGTTTAAACCACTACCGGCAAACGATGCAGAAACACTGCAGAAACCCACCGATGTAGCGCCCACTACTGCGGCCGATGATGAAAGTGGCTTGAAACGTACATTAAAAGGTCGTCACTTGCAAATGATTGCCATTGGCGGTTCAATTGGTACTGGCCTATTTGTTGGTAGTGGTTCTTCGTTTACGAGCGGTGGTCCGGCATCAGTTCTCATTGGATTTCTTATCGTCGGAGTCATGCTTTATACAGTTGTACATGCTCTCGGAGAACTAACAGTTATGTATCCTGTACAAGGTTCATTTAACATATATTCCACACGTTTTTTGGATCCAGCATGGGGTTTTGCAATGGGATGGAATTATGCATTGAACTGGCTGATTGTTTTACCACTTGAATTATCGGCAGCTGCGATAGTAGTTGGATACTGGAAGAACAGTGTACCCATAGGAGTTTGGATCACTATCTTTTTCGTTCTTATCATTATTATTAATTTATTTGGCGTTAGAGGCTATGCTGAAGCCGAATTTCTTTTTTCATCTATAAAAGTTGTGGCCGTCATCGGATTTATTATTCTAGCTATTGTCATCGATGTTGGAGGTACACCTGCTCATAAGTATTTCGGTGTCAAGACCTGGCATGACCCGGGCGCATTTCGTCATGGATTTCATGGCCTATGTACAGTCTTTGTTAACGCAGCATTTTCATTTAGCGGTACGGAACTTGTCGGTCTGGCTGCAGCTGAAACTGCAAATCCTCGGAAAACACTGCCACGTGCTACGAAACAAGTGTTTTGGCGTATTGCTATGTTTTATATCATAAGTCTGTTACTGATCGGTTTTATCGTTCCATACAACGATGATCGTCTATTGACTGCCGGTAAAACAGCATCAGACAGCCCATTCGTTATAGCAATTGATTTAGGTGGCGTTAAAGTTCTGCCTAGTATTTTTAATGTTGTCATTCTAATATCAGTTTTGTCCGTTGGCAATTCATCAACCTACGGATCATCACGAACGATTGCAGCATTAGCTGGTGTTGGACAAGCACCAGCAATATGTGGGTATATTGATAGGAAAGGGCGACCAATGGTGTCATTACTGATTGCTATCCTCTTTGGATTTATTGCCTATATTAATTTAGCGAATAGTGGACCAACTGTTCTGTATTGGCTATTGGCTCTTTCTGGTCTATCGTCATTTTTCACATGGGGTAGTATATGTGCATGTCATATTCGTTTTCGTCAGGGTTGGAAATATCATGGTCATACGTTAGATGAAATACCCTTTCGTGCTGGTGCCGGTGTTATCGGTTCATGGATTGGTTTAATTCTAAATATTCTTTGTTTAATTGCACAGTTTTATGTTGCTATTTGGCCTGTTGGTGATAATACAAAGCCAAGTGCAAGTGCATTTTTTCAAGCATATTTAGCTGCACCTGTTGTCATTCTATTTTATGTGGTTTATAAAATTATCTATTGGAAAACAAGTTCAATTGTTACAAATAAAAAAATGGATGTGATATCAGGACGACGACAAATTGATTTAGATGAAATTGAAAAGGAAAAGAAAGAAGGAATACGTCATCAAGGATTTTTTAGACGAGTGTACGAATTTTGGTGTTAGACTTATGTTTCAAATGAAGCAACATTGACGAAAACATGCAGTTATAAATATCTAACTTCTTTATTTTAGAGTTTCATTATTAAAAAGAAGGTATGATGTATGAGATTCAATCTCATACATCATACCTTTAATTTTACTAGCAAAGTTTTCTATTAAAAATGTTCAGCACAATAATGGCATTTTTATGTATTTAATCACAATTGAATGCTCTATGGAATTTAATATCAAATAAATTTTTATCTAGCTTCAGCCATATTCCGTCTCAGTATCCGGCTCTACCTTCAGCACATATGAGGCTTAATGGCGATAGATGTCTTTATTTATCATTTCCAACCACAGATCCAAAAACTACATCGAATCTCTGAAAATTAATATAATAATCTACCGGATTTCTTTCATAGATAAATACTCTGCAACAACCTCTTTATTTATGTTACCAAAATAACATAAATTTAAATCTTTTCATTCGTGTTAAAAAATGAAAATTGATCATGGTGGAACTCCAAATGTTTTAGACGCTTTACTATAGCTGGGGTAGTGTATGCACCTCGCAAAGATATTGTCTCCGATACTTTCGATGTCTTAACTGGTAAAATCAATGGAAGCATTTCTTCTTCATGTTCTTTCAGCATGTTCTTTAAATTTTATGAATCTCATGCCAGTAACTGTTTCAATTTTCTTCCGTTCGATACTCTTGAGTTTGAAACGCAAATATTTTCTTGTTTTCTCTATTACTCAGCTATTACTTTTGAAATATTTGCTTTATTTACTTCTGAAGAATAAACGAGTATTTTATAGATAGAGAAACAAATTAAACTCATTACTATTTAAATATTACTATTAGCGTACCCCCACAGTACCTTTTATTACCCGAAGAATAAGTAAAGAATATATTAAAAGTTGCTCGTGTCATTAACTAAAAACAACTTTAATTTAACCCTTAAATGGAACTCAAAATCATGATGATTTCAAAGTTCTTTGGTTATGTGACGTGACGATGTTAATAAACAGACTACGGTAGTGAGTGAATTAGAATATTTAGGATGTTATTTTATGAAATAGCATGCGATGATGTCAGTGAGTGTATCGATTATATCACATCAATACAAACTGAACAAAAAATATTTCTTGTATTATTAGAATCACTTAGTATTGAAAATTTCGTTTCACTCGTTTATGAACTAACACAAATCATATCGATATATATTATAAATAACCTTTTTTTAAAATTCCTTACTGAGAAAAACGGCTTTTACTGAAAACCAAAGAGAAACAGCGAGGTGATCTGTGGAAAATCAGACCGTGTGTAAAAATTTTCAATAGGACTATATTGATTTTCTTCCATGTTATGATAGCCCAAGGTATCCTCTTCAAAATGAGAGTCAAGTGAGACCTTGGTTTTCCGCGACTCGGGTGTTGTGTCGAATTTCTTGCGAGTCCCAAGACTGGCACTCGGTGAGTATTGGTAGCCTTGAAAACGGATTAATTATAGGTAATATATCATGCTGAGTCTTGTGGCAATATTTGTTTTTAGAAAAAGTTCTAAAAGTCTACCGAAAAGCGAGTTTAACGAAAGTTTGAGTTTTCAGGCTGTTTTCACCTATTAAAAAATTCATTATTCACTTATTAATTTCACCTATTAACATTCACCCAATAAACATCAGAAGGAGTTCAGACCTTCAGGATATGGTCGATTTTCTCCTTTAAGTGGGAGCATAAGATCAAAAAAAATCGAAAAAGCATATTTGCGTTAATAGGTTTTTTCAGAAACCCTTTTAAAAAATCTTAGGGTTTTGTAAACTTTCTTTTAAGATCTCCTATAAAGAGGATATAGAATAGCTTAAATACTCTTTAATCTGAAGTCTTGAACGCGTTCTGATGTTTATTGAGTGAATAGTGAATTTTTTAATAGGTGAAAACAGCCTGAAACCCAAATTTTCGTTAAACTCGCTTTTCGGTAGACTTTTAGAACTTTTTCTAAAAACAAATAATTGCCACAAGACTCAGCATGATATATTACCTATAGTTAACTCGTTTTCAAGGCTACCAATGCTCACCGAGTGCCAGTCCTGAGACTCGCAAGAAATTCAACACAACACGCGAGTTGCGGAAAACCAAGGTCTCACTTGACTCTCATTTTGAAGAGGATACCTTGGGCTATCATAGCATGGAAGAAAATCAATATAGTCCTATTGAAAATTTTTACACACGGTCTGGTTTTCCACAGATCACCTCGCTGTTTCTCTTTGGTTTTCAGTAAAAGCCGCTTTTCTTAGTAAGGAAAAGGAATTTTAAAAAAAGCTCTCCTTACTTTTGAAGCTGGTCTCTTCGCCGATTTAATGGTGTATGAATTAAAGGTATAGGCTTCCATTGAAAAAACTAGATAGGCTTACAAAATGAATGATGCTCCATTTAACACTCGCCAGTTTCGATATCCATGGTGGACGAGTGTTTACCTTTAAAATGAACTGAAGACCTTTTTCTAAATCAGTTTTCAACGCTGATTCAGAAAAAAATAGTTTCAACCTTCCATTTTGTGATAAAACTTCCAAAAAATCAATGCTACCATAAAGGACATTATGGCATTATAACGCACTGCAGGGCGTTATGCATGTTCTAACTCATTGTAAGGCCATAGAAGTCCTTCACACATTTCAGCGACACAAATTTATTGCATTGCAATACATTAACTGTTCAGGCTCTGTAAACGCTATATGCGACAGTGGTAATGAGTGTGATGTGGGAGTTCCTAAGTCTCAAGTCAGTAACGTATATTTCTGATATAGTTCAAGTAATTTTTCGTGGACCAACTTTTCGAGATGAATCTAATGGCAGTCTCGGAATTTTATGGAAATGTGTCCTTTACGAGAAAACCATGTACTTTCGTTTTGGATATTATTCAACTCGTTGTAACACATTAATACCTGTCGTGTTACATCGATTTCCATTTTCTTGTCTGATTGCAATGAGATAAAAAAGATTAATGCATTGTAATATATTAGATATTAACTCGTTTTTGTGAAGAATTTGATCCAAACAAAAAGTAACGACCTAGTTTTTTCTTATCATATATCGATAGTGTGTAATAAGTATATGCACAAAAAATATTGGCTGCATTGCAAATACTATTTCGTGATCAACATCGTTTTGCAGGATTATATCGAAAAGTAATTCATATTTATGAAATACAAAATAATGGACATGAAGCGCTAGAATATACACACAGAAGGCAGCTCAAATTCATCAGTATTATGGCGAATCACAGCAAATGAAAAGCTTGATAATGATATAATATTAAAAAATTGTAACGGTGGATTATATGAAGCACATGATTATTTACTTTTAAATGATCCATGTAACGAGGTAACCTATCCAAGTGATATCTTCCGATTCGTTTCTTCATACGTCGATCGATAGAGGGTATCGAGCTAGTAAAAAGCCTAAAAGGATATCTGCTGACGACTCTTGAAGACCCGGTTTTCCGGAAAATCCGTTTTTCAAGAGCTCTAAAAAAATTACGGAAACCTTCTTTTAATAAGGCATGATTGTAGCCCGCACATTTCTGATTAAGATGAGACATCTACCAGCTCCACATGACTTTTCTTTGGAAAGTTATAGAGTTTACAAGAAAAGCCCTACATATTCATTGTTAGCTAAAAAAAGGTTTCGGTAATTTTTTAGACTTCTTGAAAAACTGGTTCTTCAAGAGCCATCAGCAGATATCCTTTTAGGCTTTTTACTAGCTTGACATCCTATATCGATCGACCTATGAGCGAATGAAATTGGAAGGTATCACTTGGATAGGTTTCCTCGTAAGGTGACAAGAGTTTATTATGCTATTAAACTGGTATTAATCAAGAAAGGTGATTATTCTGAAGCATTAACACATTTGATGCATGCAGAAAAACTATTTCTATAACATTTACCACAATCTCAGTTGTTTGAGTAATTGTCTTACTCTGAAAATACGGATAAACGCTTTACTCCGTGGGATATTTTCATAAGTCAAAGATCTGATTTTCAGATTAAGAAAATTCTGATTTTGGAGTAAATTTTTTCAAAAAGCCCTTGAGCCCAATAAACGATGGACATCAGTCGTTTGACGCCACCTATGTCAATGTGAAAAACATACTTGAACCAAATTTTTGTCATTATTCCTGAATGATTTTTGAGATATCGAAAATCGGTAAAACAAAATATCGACAGCTGGAATTTCGCCATCGGAATTTCGGCATTGTCATTTTTGCTCAATATTTTCGACAAATTGTCAAATTTCAGGTTGTTTTTCGACTGTTGTCTTAATTCCTTGAAATTTCGACAATTGCCGAAAATCCGTTTTTATCGAGGCTCTCCATGGTCAATTACCCATAGTCCAGCCGTTCTTCAGGCTACTACATAGTAACTAAGTTTCCAGTTACCGTTGAAATAACGGTAACTGCCAATTAGTTAACTTTGTGGCAACTCGTTTTAAAGTATGGCAGAAATATCCACGTAGCGGCTTAAAATGGCTTCCAAAATCGCTCGTTTTCTACTAAAATTGTAGAAGCTTTCATAAATGGCATGGTTTTGTAGTCTAATTTCGTTGATAAAAACAAAAAACATTTCTTAAGCTGACTGTAAATGCTGAGGTCTCCAGAGACCTTAAAAACCTCAGTTACAAAATATTGAAGTTATGTAATTTCGATTAGCTTAGTTGTTGGGCACGTGTGTGCCAACCAAAACTATGCCGTTTATGAAAGTTTCAACATTGTTAGTGGAAAACTAATGATTTTGGCAGCCATTTAAGTCGCGGCGTGATATTTCTGCCATACTTAAAAAATAGTTACCACAAAGTTAACTAACTGATAGTTACCGCTATTTCAACGGTAACTGGAAACGCATAATGCATCAGTTATATTGTTGGATCCCACATAATTTCTATATAATCTTAGTAAAAAGACGGGTAATGACACTCGAAAGATACCTTAGAATTGGTTTAAATCCCACCAGGATCTTCTTGTGGAATGCGAATTTTGAATAAGCGCACAAATTTGAAGTTTTTCTGAACCATAATAGCAAAAAGCAGACTTTGTCAGTCAGTTTTCCATTTCAATCATACTAGTTATCTTCGACGATCGAAGAAAAATAAAAACTTCTGGGTGTTAGCTTTCCATTGAAAATCTTTTTCCAATAATGCATGTTGTCATATTCACAGTGAAATGTCATTTTCAGTTCTAGAAAACATGTTTTTGTCGTCACATCGATTGTAATAAAGCAGATGAAACAGTTATCATGTGCTAAAATTCCAAAAGTTGTCCTCTGATGAAACATTCACTCGAAGTTGTTCCACATTTGAAAAGATCCAGCAGAATTGTTCAACATTGTTTATATCACACGCATTAAATTAATTAATAATATTATATTTTTTAATTTTTTTATTCAATTGTACACATATTTGCTGGTCGTTAAAATTGTTTGTTGCAGACATTAGCGCCGAAGCCGCAATTGTTAGCGAGTTTAAGGTTTTGCATCCTTCTAGCAAGTTCAAAAATAGTTGTGGAACAATTCGATACAGTACAGTTAAATGTTTAATCGGCAAAAAATTGATCGACTCAGCGAGATCATGTGTTTCAATTGTCATATTTCGGTCAAAAAATGTCATTGATTCAACGTTGTCGTAATAACAGCCAAGTCTTGATGCTTCGGTGACCGATGTCGATGGTAACAATATTAACACTTTTACATTCCTATAAATACCATTTCTTTTCGACCTGTATAGAAGCAATACAAAAATGATACATACTCTACAAAACAGCTAGAGCCAAATGCTGTAGTATAACGCCATCATCGACTATTGCACATCCTAGGCCTTTTTTCTATTTTTCTTCTTTTTTTTGCTCAAAATGGCCCTGTGAGCAGCAGAAAGCTACGAACATTTTATTTTAGGTGCCTTCCAGCTGTTAAAGTCGTTCCAGTCCGAAAGGATCTTCACTTGGAAGCTGGCATTACGATCGGCTGGCAGGCCGACCTATGACGCGGACCTAAATACTTGAGATAAAGTACAGCAAGCGTCGTGTAAGTCAGTTCTGCAAGAGAAAACATACACCGTGGCGATGATTGAGCATGAAATAAGATAGATGTACACTTGGAAGTAGTAAAATTGTACTACAGAGGTCGAACTCCATAGAATAGGATCGAATTAGTTTTGTAAAATCTGGTTGAATTGATGAACCGTTAGCTAAGGACTGTGCACTAAAGTGTATTCTGCATTAATAGTGTTTCGAACATATATTGTAGGCAAAATTAGAGTCGAGTCAGATTTTGCCAGCAACACATAGTTTACTCTTTTATGATCATGTTTGAGTGGAATCCCTTGCGAGTCACTGTGACTCACAAATGATCAAAAGAAAACGATTACGATAAAATCACTTTGTGCGCATTTGTGATCATTTTATGCGCCTTTGTGAGTCACAGTGACTATATCAAAATAAACTTGTATGAAAATGAAAACAAATAAGAATCGCCCAAGAACGTTGACAAGAAAGCGTATGCATACATGATGAACGAAAAAAGATGGCCGCTCGATTCAAAGTAAAAGAATAGAAAAGAAGAAAGAGAGCAGAAGATAGCTAATAGTCTATATGTTGACATACGACGTGGAGTCACAGTCATTGATTCACTCATCTTATTTGACCGATCTCTATTAACTGTTCTCTTTCCTCTTTTTCTTCTACACAGAAAGAAAAGGTAACAAATGTGAAGCAAATGGCAATAGACCACCTATATCTGACATATATGTATATCTCTATCTGAATGCTAGAGACCTAATAAAAAGAACGAAAAAATATATGATAAAATCAACTTCGAAATGACAAATGTGTATGTGAAATGACGAAACCGATACGTGAGGAATATTCATTGAAACAGAAATGATTACACCGATGAAAAGGTAGTAAGCAAAAAAGCTGAAAGACACCAACCAGCGGGTGTATATTGCAACAGTGAACAGGAGTAAAAAAATTAATCAAGAAGGCGTTAATGATGTTGGAGTCTCTTCCAAATGAAGTACTAATTAAAACGTTCGAGTATTTGAATAGTTGGGATTTGTTCGTTTCATTTCATGGTTTAAATAGTCGAATTAATTATCTTTTATTGTATCATTTACAATTATCATTTGACACAAAGTCAACATTTTTAAAATGCTCTAAGTTTTGTTAGAAATAATTTTGAAAATTTTTTAACAAATGTATTTTGTAGAGCAAGCATTTTTCTACAAAATGAGACGCTCCACAGCTTTGGGCTAATCTTGATATTCGATGTATAGCAATTCTTACGAATACCTCAACACTACTTTTTAACTGCAGTAATTTTATCTGCACGACTTTTAGGATGTAGCGACTACCAGTTCGACCCTTATTGATACACAGAGAATTGGAACGCAACCAAGTTAGAAGAGTTAGGGCCTTCATTCCTAAAAGGGTCGTTGAACAGCTCTTTGAATGACCAGTTGAGTCAATATGTATGTCTAAACTGACTGGTAATCATTTCTGAAACATTTTGACGTAAAACACATAAATTATCCATAATATTTTATGTCATATAGCTCGCCATTTATCGGTACGAAATAAACCAATGATAATAAATGAAATATGGCCACATCGTTCGATAATATTTTGAACATAAAATAAAATCTTTTCCACAATATCTAATTTGACTTAAATTCATATATTGCTCATTAATGAACTTTGTTAACGATGTACAAATGACTGTTTTGCAGATTCACTACTGACTACATGTTGTTGTTTTTCTGCAACTCGGTAGGAATTGATTAATTTTTGTACTTTTTCAAATGTCAAATGTGAATGATGAATTAGCTGTACAACATTTTGTTAATTATTTACGAATAAAAGTTATTTACCCCCTACTCGATTATCACAAAGTATTTGAATTCCAATGTTCACTAGACTCAAAGGGCCGACGATATACTTAGCAAAGATAGAAGTATAGACAATAATAGCTGAAATCGTTCGATATGGATTTAGTGAATGTTCTTTGAAGTAGGGAGCTAATACTGGTAAGAAGAGTTTAATTGATAACATCTAGAAACAGAAGAAATACGTAAGTAGAGCTCTATTAAAGTGACTCAGTGAATTTTTTTGTATAACAACTTTATTTTTAGAACTTAATTTCTCTATTTTTATTTACAATCTACAGCCAGTGTACAAAAGAAATGACGATCAAAGAAAAAGGAAATGTGACAACATCGTGTCGCGAACTATCGGCAGCACAGTCAGATAATTAAAGTGTTTTCCTAATTTGTTTTAGGTTCTTTATTAAAGTAATGAGTATTCTACCAGGCGATCGACAACCATTATAATAAACAGGACAACAACAAGAGCCAAATAGATCATTTATCCAATTGAAACCCAAAACCATGCAAACTGATCAACTTCACCGAATTCAACTTCGTAGCTAGCTGAAGGATTGCAGTGACACAGATAAATCTTACCAATGTTGAACGGGAGGAAAATAAAGTATTACTCCGGATGAAAAGACGAGATATAGTCTTGAAAGTTAAAAAAGTTAGAAACGGCTTCCGAGACGATACACAGTTTTTTATTGGAGCGAAGGATTGATTAAATCTTAGCAGGGCCTAGGTGATTACATATCAGTGCTTTATGAAGCCTTCAGAAAAAATGCATAGCTTATTTTTGTCTTTGTGCAAATTTTATAAAAAACTTCTCTCAATCGCATTCCTTATTTTTGTGAAACTCCTCCAATAGGTATAAATATATAAAGAATAGGAATGAAAGTTATATATAAATACAGGAAATGTCTGATATCGCAGAAGTGTTTGTTCCCTACTTCTGCGATATTTTGGGTTCATTCTGAGACTTGGACATTTATTAATTTATCCACTGAGTGACTAAACCTTCGTTTGATGCAGAGCACATGAGTATCAATACCTCTTAGGGAGTGTTATGCAACTCCTTCTAAGACAAAAAAATAGTATAAAAAGACAGAATTTCACTTTTTAGCGCTGCTAGGTAACAAGCTTTATGATTTAGAACTCAGATGCTTTCCTAACAGAGTAAGAGCTAAGCGATGGCTTTGGGTTGGAAACTGTAGAAAAAGATACTATATCCGTGTCGGTCGCCGGATTTTGCTTTATGTCATAAAGACTCACCTGAAACTTGTCCAATTCATTCTTTGCTTCCTTTTCACTTCGAAATTTTCCTACATATTTATCATTCCGTACTTCACTCTATAAACTTTTCTCATCCTTTGTATTGTACGTCACAATCCATGTGGGATGATAATAGATGATAACTTTATTTTGCCCACGATTATTATAGTGATGAAATTTTTCCATTTGACTTTCAGTAACATGACATATGGATGATTCACCTTTGACATCAATATAATCATATTTCGATAGTAAACGTGGGCCAACGAAATACATAGTTAGAATGCATAGACCAATCCATCTAATGGTATAACGTCGTGCTGGTGTGTACTGTTGTTGAACATAGCAGGCTAACGGTGCTAATGAGAATCTTGACATTTTCTAATGCAACAAAGAAAAAATTGCAGAGAAGACAGTGTTGGCTCGTTCATCGTGAGCTCTCGATGTTATGGTTCATCGGCTACCAGCGAGATGTTTTGAACGCGACAGATCGAAAGAGAAAAAACCACTGTCTCGGGAAGGAGTCGAACATCCGTCTTTCCTATTTGCAAGCGGCTGCTCTAACCACTAAACTACCGAAACATTTCTCCTTCGCTTAGCATTCTCGGATGAATGAGAACGCTCTGCTGAACTGGACTGAACAGTTTTCTTTCTTTTCTATTGTTTGGCACGAGTTACCCGAAACTGGTCAACTGAGACTTTCGTCACCTATACTTTCGTCATTGACCAGAGTTTTGTCTGACTCTCGCCAATACCCAAAGTTTTGTTTGACTTTCGGCAACTGACCAAAGTTTTGTGTGATTTTCGTCAACTGACTAAATGCCGCTTTACTTGGATCACTGATGAGGTTGTAGCTGTACTTTTGTCGTGGCATATGCCACGACAAAAGTACAGCTACAACCTCATCAGTGATTCAAGTAAAGCGGCATTTAGTCAGTTGACGAAAATCACACAAAACTTTGGTCAGTTGCCGAAAGTCAAACAAAACTTTGAGCATTGCCGAGAGTCAGACAAAACTCTGCAACGCCAGCTATTCGACATGATTTTATACGACTCGCATGTGTTTGTTTCGTCCAATAGACACAGCCCAGATGAAATATATTTGGTTGCAAAAGCTTATCTCGAGCCATCAAGACAGCCGATAAGTTGGATGCTGTTCCACCTGTTGTTAATATTCCAAATGTCCCAGAATTCAAATCAAAATCAAAAACTGAACACAACTATCTTATAACTTTGCATTCTAGATCAACTAGATCTGGCGCTCCCATATAATATCCTGTATATTTATTCAAACACTTACCAACAAGATCAGATAACGCTGAATGTAATAAACCTCCACTTGGCATATATTGCATATAACCCGGATGACGAGAATTTCTACCGGATTCAGCAGCAGTCATTATTCGATCTAATAATTCCTGTGAAGATTGATTTGTCGGTTGTTTTGATATCGTTAATTCACTATTATCTTGTTGTTCTTTAGGTGTGATTTTACGCTGTACCGGAGTGAATTTTCTGTCAAACAAATGCTTTAACACCGACTGACATGTCGTTTCTAACATTTGTTTGAATTCCGTTCGTGTTAGTTCCATTTTTATTCCAGTTTTACCGTTTCATCAAACGAGGATGGTTACTTTCCTACTTCGAAAAAAGAGTAGTTAAATTACCTTGATTGTTCTTATCTCTTGATCTGTTCTGCTCTTCTTCTGTTAGCGTAGTATATGAGTATGATCCGCGTGGTTTTATCATACTTTGTGTCATATATAGAGTAGATAAAACGAGGAAGAAGAAAGGAATTGTACACATATGTTAGCGTCCAAAATGAAACTTCAATGTCACATTGAACTGAAAACACCAGGTGAATCTAAGATTAGGCTGATCTAGAGTACAATTCAGAATTAATCTTAATTTTTAGTATTATAGGATACCGAATGCAGTTGCTATATGACTACTATCAAATAATGAAATAATAAAATTTTTAGAAGTTTGTGTTTAGCCATCGTAGAAGATCTTCTAATTGCCTTCGACCTTCGGCCAAAAATCCCTGGAAAACCTTTAGATTGTAAGTTTTTTCAAGACAAAAACTGTTATAAATAGTGAAAAGTGAACTTTATTGAATGAACTTATTTAAAAAATTAAAGATAGTGACGAATATTTTTAATTTGAATATGTCCGAGAACCCTGTGCTCAAAAACTCGGTGTTCAAGAAGTCCGCCGTCAAGTCAAAATCAACCAAATCCACACTGTAAAAAAAAAAGTGTGCTCGCTAGTGTGCAGTTCGAGTCCAAAGTGATGTGCAAATTGTCACTGTGTCATCTGAATTTTTTATCTTTCGTTTCTCTATGCAAAAGAAATCAAAGATTTATGCTTTTCTTCCATCTTTTTCTCGTTTTATCTATGCAAGCTATATGCGCAATTCCAGTGTGTTGCCGGCACACTGTCTCGCGGCAATATTTGTTTTTTAAAAAATTCCATAAACCTAGTAGAAACCTATATTAGATGAAATAACCCATTTTTGCCCATTTTTGAGTAAAATTAAAAAATTCATCCAGATTAGGTCACAATATCGAGATGTACTCTATTCTACCTGCTCAGTACTATGCAGTCAATAAAAGCTTTAAAAGTCAACAGAAAATACTTTGGTATTTGAAAAGATTTTCTAGAAATCTTCGGAAGCATAAAGAACTTTTTACTATTCTGCAGTAAAGAATCGTATTGAGCAGGTAAAATAGAGTACATCTTTATATTGTGACATAATCTGGATGGATCTCGACTGGGTATGAATTTTTTAGTTTTACTCAAAAATAGGCAAAAATGGGTTATTTCACCTAACATAGGTTTCCACTAGGCCTTTGGAAGTTTTTTGAAAACAAACATTGCTGCGAGATTCAGCTTGGTCGATTGCCTATGCATAAGACTCCTGTGTACTTACTTATTTTGAGCTTAATTTATTCCAGTTCACTATGTAAATATTGTATTAAATCTAATTTTTCTTTCAAACACAATGCAAATGTGAAAAGAGCCTTTCGTCTAGCGCAAGAAATAATTAAAATGTTCAAGATATTATCAAATACGTTTCTTCAATACTTCAAACACCAACAGAAATTTAAATTCATACTTTTATCTTAAAATATTTTCTGAGAAATCTTCGGAAATTTTCCAAGGTATAACGCACGTTTTAGCTTTAATTCATGACAGCACTCGAAAGTACATGAAGATCTCAAGGGATGGGCACGTGCCCTGTTTGCCCTCACCCTGGGTACCGTGACCACCCGTGTAAAATAGGAGATACTAATAGTCGATCAATAAAGAAACAATTTATCTCATGGTGTTCTTTCGCAATGCATCAGTCCGACATGGAGCGCGTTGGTCTCCAATTTGATTTGGTGATGTCTAATTTGAGCTCCATCAAATAGTGCATCTTAACTACAAAAACTATTTCGTGACAGGTAGTGATGTCAAGTTCACTAAAAAGTATGAGGCGTGTGGTATCCACACGCATTTGCGAAGAAATTCCGTAATAAACTTTTTGAGTGTTTGATGGAGGCTCTTTCGGTTAGGGATGTCCCAGTTCCGTCAATTCCGGAAACTTGCGAAATCCACGAGAATTTTACTGTTTTACAGGAAATTTGAGAATTACCACGAGAATTTTATCCTCCTACACTAGAATTCTGCTTCATGCGGACCCTATTACTTCACCGTGACCCTATTACTTTCCCCACCAGAATCTTACTTTTCTACAGCAGTTTTGAGAATGACCGCGAGAATTTTAATCTCCTCCATGGGAATGCTATAAAGTTAGGAACAGAGTGACTATATTACTTGCTCCACCAGAATTTTACTTTTCCAAATGAATTTTGCGAATTACCTGCACGAGAATTCGGCTTCATGGCCAGGAATTCAGAGTGGCAGTATTACTTTCTCCACGAGAATGTTACTTTTCTTCAGGAATTTTGAGTACTTCCACGTGAAATTTAACCTCCTACAAGAGAATGCTCCATCATGGCCTAGAATTCAGAGTGACTGTATTACTTTCTCGACTAGACTTTTCCTTTTCCAAAGGCATTTTTAGAGTTACCGCGACCATTTTATTCTCCTACACGAAATTTTTGGAATTCACAGTGACCATAGCGTTTTTCTGCACGAGAATTTTACTTTTCTACAGAAATTTTGAGAACTACCGCGAGAATTTTAATCTCCTACACCAGAATTCTGCTTCATGGCCAGGAATTCAGAGCGGCTATATTACTTTCTCTACGAGAATGTTACTTTTCTACAGGAGTTTTAAGTATTTCCACGAGAAATTTAACCTCCTACAAGAGGATGCTCCTCCATGGTCAGGAATTCAGAGTGACTAAATTACTTTCTCGACTAGGCGTTTAAAGTTCTGAAGGCATGTTCAGAATTACCGCGACCATTTTATTCTCCGACACGAGATTTCTCCTTCATGCGGAGCAATTCACACTGACCATAGCGCTGTCTGCGCGAGAATTTTACTTTTCTAATGGAATTTTGAGAATTACGGCGAGAATTCCAATCTCTACCACGACAACTCTGTTTCATGGGCAGGAATTCAGAGTGAACATAGTCCTTTCTGCACGAGAATTTTTCTTTTCTACAGCAGTTTCGAGAATTAACACAATAATTTTAATCTCCTCCATGGCAATGCTTCAGTCAGTCTGAGTTATTCCGCGAGGAAGCAAAATCCTCGTGGAACAGAGTAAAATCCTCGCGCTAATTATCAAAATTGCTCTGGAAAAGTAAAATTCTCTGGTAGATAGTAATATGGTCACTCTCAATTCCTCTGCACAAAACAGAACTGTGCTGGAAGAGATTAAAATTCTAGCGGTACTTCTTAAAATTGATGTAGAAAAGTAAAATTCTCGTGGAGAAAGTAATGTGGTCACTCTGAATTAACCCGCACGAAGCAGAACTGTGATGGAAGAGACTAAAATTTTAACGGTAATTCTCAAAATTCCTGTAGAAAAACAAAAACCTCGTGGAGAAACTCATGTAATCACTCAGTATTCCCGGTCTTGAAGCAGAATACTCGTGAAGGAGATTAAAATTCTCGCGGTAGTCCTGACAATTCCTGCAGAAAAGTAACATTCTCGTATGGTAAGTAATATGGTCACTCTGAATTCATCCGCACGCAGTAGAACTGTGGTGGAAGAGATTGAAATTTTTGCGGTAATTCTCAAAATTCGGCTAGAAAAGTAAAATTCTCGTGGAGAAAGTAATGTAGCCGCTCTGACTTCCTGGCCTTGAGGTAGAATTCTCGTGCACGAGAATAAAATCCTCCTGCTAATTCTCAAATTTCCTGTAGGAAAGTAAGATTTTCCTGGAGAAAGTAATATAGTGACTCTGACTTCCTGGCGTCGAAGCAGAATTCTCGTGTAGGAGAATAAAATTCTCGCGGTAATTTCCAAAATTGATGTAGAATAGTACAATTCTCGTGGAGAAAGTAATATGGTCACTCTGAATTCCTCCGCACGAAGCAGAACTGTGATGGAAGAAGTTAAAATTTTCGCGGTAATTCGGAAAATTCGGGTAGAAAAGTAAAATTCTAGTGAAACAAGTAATATGGTCAGTTTAATTGCTCCGCTTGAAGCAGAATTCTCGTGTAGAAGATTAAAATTCTCGCGGTAATGCTCAAAATTCCGGTAGAAAAGTAAAATTCTTGCGGAGAAAGTAATATGGTCACTCTGAATTCCTCCACACGAAGCAGAACTGTGATGGAAGAGATAAAAATTTTCGCGGTAATTCGGAAAATTCGGGTAGAAAAGTAAAATTCTACTAGTCATGAAGCGTAATTCTGGTGGAGAAAGCAGTATGGTCAGTCTGAATTCCTTCGCATGAAGCAGAATTCTCGTGGAAGAGATTGAAATTCTCGCGGTAGTTCTCAAAACTGCTGTGTAACTGTATAAAAGTAAAATTCTGGTGGAGAAAATAACATGGTCAGTCTGAATCCCTGGCCTTGAAGCACAATTCTCGTGAAGGAGGTTAAAATTCTCGCGGTAAAATTCAATTTTTTCATGGGCGAGGAAAGTTTTGAATTACCATCAGCGATTGATTTCAAAACATCCGATGATTTTATGCATGAACAATTTGAACATTGCTTCGATTATGGGAGGGGGGAATTATTCGAAGTATAGCGACCGCATGAACTCTAGTAATTGCTGGCCATATAACGCAAGTGATTGCTTTACGAAATTAACTGTTGGCTATGGATTAAAGTACTACAAAAAACTTACCTGGTTTTCTTTTTTAGTTTAAAAGTATAGTCGGCTTGGATATTCGGCAGAATTCAACCTGTCGAGTTAAATATTCTCTCCTGTGGGAAAAACAGGTGCTTTCTGTAGAAACGTTCTCATTCATAAACTAAAAATTTTACCATAACTACTATATGACATTCCCCAGGGATAGATTTTTTTTGTTTTATTACATTTCTATTACGGGAAGGGTTTAGTTCCTATAGTTTCTTTTCGTAGTTTGCGGCATTGATAGTTCCTAATTTTTCCACTGCTTTCGGCCGCTGAATTTATTTGACATCACTCTTCTCCAGTACATTCCGCAGTGAAGTTCAAAGTCGCTTCTGTACTTTTCCCCATCTTGTTAACGTTTTATAGATTCACTGGCGATTCTATAGAATCCTATAACAGAATCATTAATTCTATACTTTCTCCATAACATTCCCATCTTAGCCGCACGCCGATTCCAACTGGAGAAAGTAAATAATTTTAAGAACGATGTCATTAATTGAAGGTATCAGCTCAACGACCAATTGTAGATAAAGCTTACCATCTGTATCGAACATTTCCCCATCAGCATTAATATCCATTTGTGCATCACTATCGTTATCGCTGACATTTCGGGTAAGATCGATTTTCTCATCTACCAATTCTCTGCTCGTTTGTTTGCTTCGAACTAAAAGAATTAAAAAGAGGTCACTTATAAGCCTTTTTACCAGTGTTTATTTCAAAAAAATACCACGTGGTAAGGCTACGGATGGCGGAATTTGTTGTGTTTCAGCTGGCTGATGCTCATAACAAAACTGACTTATAAATGCAGGTGTGTGAGAACATCCAACAGGAATAGATTCAAATTCGTCTGTTTTAATACATATATCTTTCAATTTGCAGATTCTGCGACGAAACTTCTGGTGTCCATCAATAACGGCAGCAACGGAACATAATGCTTTGCATGGTTTAAACACTTGATGTTGTGACCAAAAAAAAAACGAATTCCTGATAGCAATGTTCAAACTGTTCATGCATAAAATCATCGGATGTTTTGAAATCAATCGTTGATGGTAATTCAAAACTTTCATGTCCCATGAAAAATTTGAATTTTATCAGTCCATAAAAAAAAAGTGTTGCATTAGACGTCGAAGATCTATTTTGTCATGGTCACTAGTATCGTTCGTCGTTGTTGTCTGAAATGCTTGTAAGTTAAATGCATCTGCAAATTTTTCGAGCGATGATTTGCTTGAAATAACACCACATTCTAACGTTAATAACAATGCCTTTTTATATGCAAAATTTCCTCCGAGATACATATAGTCAGTCTAAAACAATTAAACAGAGCCAATATAGCTTTTTCAGCTCAAAGTTCTTTTCTAGTTGTTAGCTTTAGAAGATTGATATGAGAAGTCTTTTACGCTAAGTTTGAATAGTTTCTGGGTTTTTAGGATAGCATAGACAGAACAATGATTTATTTTAGAAACCAAAAGAAAATTAGAAGTTATTAGGGCTTTGAATACTCGTTCTATTCGGATCAGGTAGGGTTTAATATGCACTTACGTGCTGCGGTCTCCTGTTTATTTAGACATTTAAATCATAGGCTCTTAGAATCACAGAATAACCTACGTTTTGAAAACTGTTCGGAGTGATAATCAACAAATCATTTCTTTTAATGAAATTTGGGTAAATTTCATTTGGTTCGTTTTTCATTTTCGTTTTTGAATGTGCACACGTCAAAAAATACAGTGTAGCATTCTCGGTTTTTCCTATTGCACTAAAAACTTTTATCTGTTTCGAGGTCGTTGATGATATCAGATTGTTTTCATAAATTGGACAAACCTAAAATTCCAGCAGTTATATGAAGACAGAAGGACAATAAAAAAGTTCTTGGCATCTTCCAAAGGATCCATAGGTATTTTATTAAAAACAGTTTTCTTCAGGTAACCAATTTTTCATGTGGCTGGCTTGCATAGCACATCCACTTACATAATCGCACAAATTTTAGGATTAACGAATAAGTTTTGAAAGGGTTGTGAATTAGTTCGGTCGAAATTGACTGAGAAAATGTAAACATCAAATCTTTCAAAATAAGAAGTTTCTACCTTCGAACTTACCCGATAAGTTTAAAAATGTCTTAACGTACTTGGCATGCCACTCTCTACTAATTAGGCAAGTTAAAGACCTGAAGCTGGACTTTTCTAAGCCTGGACTCTAACGATTTACCTTATAGAGGTATAACTGTCTAGCGATATCAGATTTGGAATTAACACGAAAGATAGTCTGCAAAAACAATTTTTTCAATAAAATAATCGGGATAGACACTTAGAGTTTCCTCTTTAGTAAGATAATTCAGCTTCTCAATAAAGGTTACAATATACAATCAAGTAAAAAGAATTGAATAACTTACATCTTGGAATGGTGTTAAATGAATATAATTATATTTATTACATCTACCATTCAATAATATGTTGTTCGGATTACTACTATAATTTTCTAATGTTTCTTGAACATCAGTATTTGAGTTTAGTTTTGCCAGCAGTGGGTTTTGTAATAATGACAAAACAAATGATAGTTCTTGAGCTTTATAATTTGTATTGAATTTCTGATTTATTATAAAGCAAATATGATCCATTTTATTCCATAAATAAACCGGTAACGTATTGTTTAATTCAACAGTCAGTGAAATATGTTCTAATTCCATGTACTCTATTAATGTTTTAACTAAATCAAGCATGTTTTCTTTGTATTTAACATTCATATTTGTCTTTGACACTGAGGCCATCTTTTCACAAGAAAAAGATTTTCAAAATCTTTCTGTAAACGAGGTTTCATAGGAGACCTTTGAAAAATCAGGTCATAGCTCGAAAATTGGAAGTGGGAATATTTTCGTTTTTTCCCATGTATCAATCAATAGCCTAGAGTATTCTCCTCAAAATCAAGTAACCTCTTCATTTTTTATCGTTTAGGGGTGACATTGGATTTCCTAGGAGTTGCTGGATTGGTGTTCGGTCACTATTGGTAGCCTCAGAAAGGAATAGATTGTAGGTAATCGGCCATGTTGAATATTGTGACAACATTTGTTTTTTTAGAGAAAAACTTAATGGAAACAGCTTTTTACGGAAAATATCGTTTTTCTTACTTTTTACCAAAAACTAAAAAATTCATATTTCATTCAAAACTGTTCCAGATCACTTGAAAGTTTCACGATAGAAACAGTTTCATATGCATAACATGACTCTATATCTAGAACCCTAAAATAAGTAAATATTTATGAAGCTTTCTGGAAGACTATCTCAAAATCCAGTACAATCTCAATGATGTTTTCGCTGTTTAAGATATAGAATCATGTTACGCCTATGAAACTGCTTCTATCGTGAAATTTTCAAGTGATTTGGAACAGTTTTGAATGAAATATGAATTTTTTAGTTTTTGGTAAAAAGTAAGAAAAACGATATTTTCCGTAAAAAGCTGTTTCCATTAAGTTTTTCTCTAAAAAAACAAATGTTGTCACAATATTCAACATGGCCGATTACCTGCAATCTATTCCTTTCTGAGGCTACCAATAGTGACCGAACACCAATCCAGCAACTCCTAGGAAATCCAATGTCACCCCTAAACGATAAAAAATGAAGAGGTCGCTTGGCGTTTTGGATGGACAATGGATTTAATGGAAAAAGACAACATGAACATAATCTCTAATCAAGAAATAACTTTTATATATCAAAAAGTAATTGACAATAATTTTGATTAACTACGAAAAAGTTTAGCTTTGCTTACGTCTAGCTCCACGAGTACGTAAGGCTACAGGCGTTCTTGTTATTTGTGAGCTAACCCCATCTCCTTGAGCTGTAATTATATTTTCACTATTTGATAAACGTCGTTTTCTAATTGATGAATCATCTACTGTTCCTGTTAGTTGTACAAACGTATTTGACTCAGGTAAATTTTCATCTAAGCACAACAAGAATATATTTCAAAGAAAAATAGACGCAGCTATTAAAGAAAAGTCTTTTCACCATATAATATTTACTAGCAAAAAAATAAAGATCTTGGATAACGAAGGAGCATGTGGCTCTATGTGGCCTAATAAGAGATCCACTTTGTGAGAAAACACGCTCCACCGGTGCTGATGTTGCCGGTACGCATAATAATTTATATGCTAATCGATTAAGAGATGGATATGATTCCTTTTTATCAAAAACTAAACAAGTTTCATCACTCTCTTCGTTTAAAAAAAGCATTATTTCTTCATTTATCGTACTTTGTGAAATTAATCTAGTTCTTTTCGCGTTTGGTGTTTTAAAATATGAAAATAAACCT